GTTCACACGTATTAAAGTGAACCGTTCACACGTATTAAAGTGAACCGTTCACACGTATTAAAGTGAACCGTTCACACGTATTAAAGTGAACCGTTCACACGTATTAAAGTGAACTGTTCACACTTATTAAAGTGAACCATTCACACGTATTAAAGTGAACCGTTCACACGTATTAAAGTGGATTATAAGATTAACCAATCAGAGGAGAGATCTATGCTGAAGAAGAGTTTGAAGTTTGGACCAGCTGGGTTTGGGATCATGGTTCTGAGCTGCACAGTCTGACCTTCAGGGTGAGCAGCCCCAGTTTGGACCCTTCCTGTTCAATGCATAACCACATGGTGGAGGAAGGGTTTTAAAGAACGTCAGAACCGGATCAGTCTCACTCTGATAAAGCCTGCAGCTGATCCAGTTCTGACAGAAACATTTTATTTTACAGCATGGTCTTCCTCCACCGTCAGCCTCCTCACYTTCTCAGACAAGACAAAAGAACTCGTCTCATTAAAAACAAAAAGTCTTTTTCTGAACGTGTCGATAAAAGCAGCTTGTGCAGGATCACTGTGTTGAAACAGTTCTGACTTCCTGTTGGCTGCAGGTCGATCATTAGATACAAGTCATGTGACCTCACATCCTGATGGGATTAAAAACAGAAAAGGATCTTTTTATTAAACAAGAAGGTCTGACTGACATCAACAGTTAGACTAGATTAGATTAGATTAGATTAGATTAGATTAGATTAATGAAGGGACAGATTAGCAGTGCAGCAGGTTTGAAGCACTGCTGTGCTTGTGAACACAGCAGGACCCAGCTCCGGCTCAGAGCTCAGCTGGGACACCAAATCAACTAAAAGCACAACAACCGGTTCTCTGTGGGGGACACCCGGGGTCCACAGAGTCCCACAGAGTCCCACAGAGTCCCACAGAGTCCCAGATCCCGGCCTCCTCCAGAGGGCAGAGCAGCAGAGCTCCAGGTCAGAAATGTCAGCAGAAACCTGACGGGCCGAGCAGGAAATAAAAACCAGAAGTGGACAGCAGGTAAAAGAGCTGCTGAAGTATTGATGGAAGAGAAAGTGGGTCGATAAAACCGAGCAGAGAATAAAGTCTAAAGGTTGTGAAGGATGTGAATAAAACATGCAGATTAAATATGGATGACACAGAAATGAGAAGCAGGTGAGGAAGAACTGGAAACCTGACTTTTTTTTCTCCAGCGGATGGTTAACGGATCATTTCACAGATRATTGTGCTGTAAACGTTTCAGGACGGTTCAGTTCTCAAGGTCTGGCAGAAAAAAAACGAGCCTTAAAAATGCTTAGTAATCCAAACGGCGTCGGGGCGTTCTCTAACCTGGTGTTCTTCCTGACTTCCTCTCCGTACAGGAAGTGCTCCTGGATGACGGTGATGTAATGAGTGGGCAGCTGCTCTGATTGGTTCTTGCTGATGGTGACGACGGGGTACCCCATCTGCAGCGTCCACCTGTCCATCATGTCCCCGATGTCGATGTCCCGCCCCTCTGAACGCATGGCCTTCAGTGGAACAAGCACAGGTGTTTGGTTACCGAGGGGTTAACGTGAACTTCAGACAGCTTCGTTAGTATGGAGAGCCCTTTCACTCAAAATTAAATAAATACATAAAGTAATTANGCTAACAGTTAAAACGAAATCATGTAGCTAACATGACATCAAGCTAACAGTCTCACTTGCCAGTTTGGACCGAGTAATTTTATTTATTTTTTAATAAAGCAATGATTTGAGACTTGTTTTGAATTTCTCTCTAATTAAATGACAGATGTACCTGTCTCCTCAGATTACTGTTAGCATAACAGTATGACATCATTATTTACCTTTGATAATTATTTTTAATGAACTCAGTAATTGTTTTAAACAGATGTTTTTGTTTTAATTTAAGAGTTGTGATCATCAGCTGTGCCACAGACGATATTATTGTCAAGAAAAAGCCAAATATCGCTTAAAGCTAACGTTAACGCTACTTCACGTGAAAAACATCAGAAGTGGATGTTGGTGGGTTTATCTGCAGAAAAGCAGAGCTGAGACAACAGCAGCGTTTAAATCAAACTAGCTGCACAAACAGCTCCCTGTACGTCAGAACTAATGAGTCTAATAAAACCCTACTTAAAGGGAAATTCTCCTCAGTTCTATTYAAACCAGCAGTTTTTAATTAAACTCGTTTTGATCAAATTGATTCATATTTTAATTAGAGTGGATTTAAATTAGAAGTTGAAAACAATCATCCTTACACTAAAATCAATTAGAGAGAGATTTGTGTTGATTGTG